GTATGGTCTTGGAGCTTGCTGGAAAATGGTTTCATCTTCACTCACTTTTTTTTTTTTTTTTTCCCCCATTTGCCCAAATATTGGTAACTTATAATCAGAGAAGTTACTTACCTGTATTCAGGAAATCTAACAATTCTATTGTCTAAATGGTTTTAGGCCAATTTAGCTATCATTTCTGGCACCAAAAGGATAAGATATTTATTTCCCACTCGCTGTGTGCTTAAGTTTTAAATGCCTAACTGAAGTGCTCAGCCTTGTTTGAAGAACTTTTAGAGGAAGAAGTGATTAAAGTTTTCTCACGTCTAATATCTACTGATGGTGGCTTTTCTACGAAAGGAGGTTGTGGCTTATGATGTTATATCTTTTACCATTTAAATTCGTCCTATTTTTTTTTTCACTATAGTTCCTTTGCTGCTGTTTGGTTTTGTAGCATTGTTGTGACTGAATGGAGCACTCCGTCCTAAAACCTTATTTCAGCTGCTCGACCTTATTTCAGAGCAGAAAGGTCTCATGCTTGATCTCAGTCCAAAGATGAAATGTTTCTCAGAACTTTAGCAAATGGTACTTTATACTATCTGTGTGTATCTTGTGCTCTCTCAGGCCTGAGATATTGCATTAGGTAGAAAAACTGCTTTAAAACATTACTTTTTAGTACACTAAAGAACTAAGAAATTTTAAATATGATGCTTGTTAACCTCAGTGAGGAATATCTGCTTTGTGAAGATTGGTGTGGTTCAGTAATTCTTAAAAAAAAAAAAAATATCAGATTGCTTGCTTATGTGGAAGAAAGGTGTAGGGAAGGAGGAAAATTTGCTGAGGGCCTCCCAGATTTGTTCCAAGAGTGGGAAAAAAGGAATGAGTGTATTCTCCATTCAGGAAAGGCACGAGAGATGCAGTCTTTCCTCCTCCTTCTGGTCCATGGCTCCCATTCTCGAGATCATTATAGATCCCAGATTCTTTTACAGCAGTGGTTTCCAACCTTTTAAGGTAGGAGATCACTGTTGTCATTTAAAAGCAACTCAAGATCTACTGTGTATTGCTACCACCCCCCACACCATGCCCAGCAGGTAGAGTGAGAAGAAATTATTTGGGGATGCACCTCCCTAGCAGGTAAGTCACACCTGGCCGGGGCCCCACTCAACTTACCCCTGCTCCTGTCTCTGCAGTACTGCCCCTCAGCACGGGGGCCTTGATCTGGCCCCTGCCTCTTTCCTCCCCCATGAACTGACCTGCTGGGCTGGGGCATGTGCGTGCATGCACGCGGGCACTTAGCCCCCCGCCCCAGCCTCAGAAGGACTCCAAGAGGCTCCGAGACCTACCGGTGGATCGAGATCCGCTGGTTGGTAATCACTGTTTTGGAGGCTAGTGCCATCTTTGTCTGGGCCTACAGCTTGGCTCCCAGCTGCTCTTTCTCTGGTCCCACCTCCCTGGCTTCCCAACAGCTACAGGCTTTGTTTAGATTAGAGTGCATCACAGTTTTAGGCCTAGTTCAGACATGGCTATGGAGGACTTCTGTTACTGCTGTCTTAGAAGAGGTGCTCTGTAACCCCTGGCCCCCCCCCCAAACAAACAAACAAACAAAAAGTTAGTGCAAGAGTGTTTATGTCTCGAAACTACACTAACCTTGAAGGGAGGAAAGGAAGTGCAGAGGCGGCAGCCAACACCTGGTTATGCACGGGGAGATGTGCTCACAAAGATCTGCTCTGTGCAGGCCCAGAGCGTGTGTGGCACCCAAGGAGATTCAGGTGCTGGAGTCTGATATTTGAATGTGTACAGAAGTAGAAATGTTGGTGCTTTTGTGTCCTGCTTTCTTTGCTGAAGATTTTTTTTAAAACAAGCCTGCTTTTGCAGGTGTACCTGGAAATGTGGATACACAGGTGAAAGTTCAGTTAAAGGGTGTATAGAAGAAAAAAAAAAAACAACACAAAAAAATCAGTGTCCAGCAACATTGCATAAGGAATACTGTTTGACCCATTTAACTGCTGTTTTGCTTTCTTGTAAAATGGCCTCTGCTGGCAAAAGCTGTGCAGTGAAACCACAGCCTGTGCTGACAGATGTCATTTTGCATAAGTTGCTTTATGCAGAAGTGAAACTACTATTAAACTTATCTAGACAAGAGCTGTTTTCTGCAGTGAAACTGTAGTACAGTCTTCCTGCATAGATTATATTTGAATTGTGCACTCAGTATTGAGAGAGACTTTAAGATTTTTTTCCCCCCTTTCTCTCTTTCTTTCATTTTTTTTTTTTTTTTTTTTT